TTATTGGCTAGCAGTTTTGACATGAGTCATAAATGCTTCTTGTTTCTCTCCTTTTAAGTTCCTTGAAGACTTGAACATATGCCTAATTTTATGATGTGTCAAGTTACACACATTAATAAACTGTGGTATGATGAGGGTCTTAAACACTTTTTATAGAAAAGAGGAAGGAAGGCATATGCAAAAATATTAATTTTTAGTCCAACAAATGTGTTGTCATGCTAGTAGAACAGGAAAGGTTTGAATATGAGAATTTCACTTGTGGCGGATTCCCAAAGTATTCTAAGAGTCTTTAGCATGGTGCAGAATGCTATGGCCTTATCCATGTTATGAGTCAGTGGTGATGTGTTAAGTCCATAAAAGTCTTTTCCTGTGTTTCTCGGTCATTAGATCCAGAGTCATTAGCCAAGGAATTCACTGGACTGAATTCCTTGCTGTATAAAAGAATTCCTATGTGATCTAAAAGCTCTGAGATTTGGACTGTGACTCATTCATCTGTCTCTGTGATGGGACTGGCTGTCCACAGAGGTGTGGCAGATGGGAGCAGCGATTACTTTGGCTCCACTGATTTTTGCACAATTCTATATATCGTAATGTTTCAGGTGAATCATTCAGTCTTATACTTAGACCTTCTAAATTTACCTAGGTCTTTATTTCTTTTTGGTTGTTTTTTTGCTTTGGGTTCAGCTTCTCTGTAGTTTTGACTCCCATCTATAACATAAAGATAGCAAGTTACTTTTTATGGGACTGTTGGAAGGTAATCATTAACAAGTGTGAGGCATTCAGATACTGTGAGGGCAGTGATGTAACCAGCTAGACAGATTCCCTAGATGGAAGCGGGGCTTTTGGGATCTCTTTACATTCTGTGAGTAGTCCTGGGGTGGGCTCATCTTTGTGATATTTAAAAAACAAAACAAAACCCCCAAACCAGCTGTTTCTACTAGACTCTATCTAAAATTTATCCACATTTGTAAATCTCATCCCTGGACTACTATGGAGTTTATCAGGTTAATTAAGAACAATGAGTAGGCTAATGTATTGGAACTCTAATGGCCACATTTATCTTTGATCTAATAGTATTCACTTCTTTCTGTCTCTGGAAATGTTGCATGTTCCTGTTGCTGGCTTTCAAGGTCTCTTGCTTTTGGCTGCTGAAAATCTGTGTGTTGCTGTTCTTCTGGAATATTCTTGGAAAGGTAACTGGCTTGTCATTTACTTCTTTTGTCAGGAGAATGGTGCTTCTGCCAGTTTAGATTTTTCTCTTTTCCCTTCTGTGTTTATTCCCTACATCTGTCTGTTAGAGATATATTAATCAGAGAGGCATTAATTGTTCTAGTCTAGATTTAGGACACTGAATATTATGAACCCTGCAATACAGATTGCCATTTGACACTTCATATATTTGTCTAAATAATTTTAGATATTTCTTGCTGACACTCAGTCGCAATTATTTCTTCCTGCAGTTTCCTTGCAGTTTCTGATGTAATGTGTTGCACCTTGACTAGTAGACATTTTTATTGTTAAGCTTAATCATGAGATAGTCAGTGACTGTAATTGCCTTTTCAAGACCATTATGATAGTACCCTGTTTAGCAAAAGACATCAAGTAGTTCAAGCAGTTTACTGATCATATTAATCTTCCCTTCCAAAGAGCTAGGTTTGATCATTAATGTTGATGTGTGTGAGGAAATTAAAAAAAAATGGCTTAGAGCTAGTTTATTCTCAAAGTTGGGGATAAAGCTTTTTTATAAAGTATAAAATTAGCATTTGATAGACACATAACAAAATCTTCCTGATTATCTCTTTTTATATTATTTTATTATAAAATATTTTCATTTATATTTAGGTGATTACTTCCAAATGATTCTTCCAGAAACACACAGATGCCTATCTGTAAAATGTTAGCTGTATGTTCTTGTTACCAAAACATTGAACATCTTCAGGTAAAAATGGCTTCTTCCTTAAAACATGTTTACTAAGCTTCTGAATCTATATGACCAAATAATTGTTTTCAGCTCCATTAGAATAAAGTGTTTACTTCAGATGTAAAACCACAGAATTATGAGTAACAACAGATGATTTGAAGTGACATCAGTCAACTTGATTTTTGTAACTGTCTAAAAATGTTAAAGTTAACCGTTTAAAATGTTAAAGTTCTTAACAAAGTACCCTCTAAGTAATGCAAGACTTCTTAGAAAAATCATTGGAGATACATACTCAAGAATTTTTAAGTCTCCTGTTCTTATACAGAAACTAGTAATTCCTCGCTCAAACAGTAAGAACTTAAATGATACACAAGGCAGGGACTGTATCATTACCGATAAAAATATATACAGATATTTTTTTAAGGGCTTTAGTGCTTTCATATTTTCTATTTCACACAAGTCAATGGTACATCTTCAAATGAACAAGGCCATGTATTGTATTTTAATGATAGAACCTCCTTTTTACCACTGTACTTCTTTCTCAAGGGTTTGGTTTTTTTAATAACTCTGAATAACTGATATTGTTTTCCACTGATCTGATGTTGCATGAGAATAACTATTAGCACACTGTTAGTTTTGGTTGTTGTACTGCATTAACTGCACTTTTTTTGAGGTGACGATTCACTACAAAACTGTCCTTTGCATTTATTTCTGTGATTTTTTTGTACATTTGAACTTGTGACCAAATCTGAAATTCAAAAATTAAGTGGAAAAGCCTGAGATGCTTTTTGATAACAATGTTTTACTTTGTTAGAAATCATTAATTGCTGGTAGCTTTTTATTCGAGCAAGAAAATGAAAGACTATAAAATTAAATGTGCATGTTTTGGGTAATTTATTAGATTAAATACAGATAGTAGTTAAAGAAAGATGTGTGTAGAACATTATATTTAATGTCTTGTATTCTTTCACCAGAATGGTGTAGGTTGTTACCAAGTTGAAGATACCCACCTGGAATTTTTCAGGTTACTTACAGACCTTCAAATCACTGAATCCTATTTACTGTTTTGAAAATCTTTTAACAAGCTACTCCACCATCTCACAAGCCACCCCCTTAGAAACATACATCTAATTTCTATTGAGTATTTGTGTAATAGAAATATATCCTTTTTTTTTTTTCTTTTTTTGACAAAAGTGGATTAAGATCTTTTTCATGATGGCTGAATCTCCATTGAACACATGAATCAAGTACATAGGGGCCACATAACATATGCATAATTAAAAATACCAGTGCAAGTTCTTCTACAGTCTTTCCAAAATCTTTATTGGTCGTGATTTTCTAAAGATTATAGGGTATCTTTGAACTTAAGAATGCTGAGTGTTGCTGACTAATGTTTTCTGCATTTTTTGTGGGATACTTGTACTAGAAATTACTCTAATTGAGTTTGTAGGTGTCCTGTTAGTTTTCAGTAGCAAGGTGGATGAGAATGATGATAAATGAAAAAAGCATAGATTAAAGATTTTTGAAGTAACATTCTTAGAGGGAACAGCATTTCTGAGCAGTCAGAGGTATAATGTTCAGGTTAGTTAATTCAGTTGCCATCTGAGAGAAGTTAAATTGAATCTCTGAAACATAAGAGAGAGACAAACAAATGGCAATAAGGAAGCTGAAATTGCTAAGGGGAAGATCTTGTGATAAAAGGAATATCCAGAAATCAGACAGTAGAGTATGTGATGACAAATCTGGAAGGCATTCCCAAGGAGAAATTATTTTGTATAGTGTTCCAAAAAAAGAGAAAACTGTCACCAGATGATTAGTTTGACTGTGACAGTGGTGCCATTCTTGAGTTCTTACTGAAATATATAGACAGAATTATTTAAGCAGGTCAGTGCTTTTCTGTATCCGTACTTGCAGAATAAGGCCTTACTTGAAGACTTAAAATATTCCAGATTTAAATGGTGAATTCCGTGTGTATAAAATGCTTGACTATGAAAATAATGAAATAGGCTTATAGGAATATCCATTGGTTACGAACATGTGATGGGAAAATGTATTGCATATTGCAAAAATTTACATGCAAACGGTCATGCTAAAAATGCAGGGGTTTTTAAGGGCTTATAGGAACATGTGATGGGAAAATGTATTGCATATTGCAAAAATTTACATGCAAACGGTCATGCTAAAAATGCAGGGGTTTTTAAATCTACTTTCTCTAATTTGCACTGACTAATCAATATTTTTCAGAATACCTCTTGCAGGTGTAGGCTTAAATGGGACAGGTGATTTCTCAGAATGGCGTCCCATCTGGCTGTTCTGCATCTCACTTCTGTTGTAGAAGTTCAGGGACCCCCCTGAGCATGGGTTTCAGAAATAAAAGCAACTTAAATATGAAGTATAGAAGTTGGTGGAAAAATTTAAGTTTTACCTTCTCTCTGGGCTTACCCTCTTCTTCTTTATTTTACTACTTATTCATTGATTTATTTACCTTTTGGCCCCGATGTCATCTTTTATATGCTGAAACATTCACGTTCCCCCTTAAATCAAAGTGTTTCTGTTTAGCAAAGCCGAGTTAACGGAGTATAAATTCCTCAGCATTTGGACCTTTGAAAACTACAATGCTGTGACAAAGTCTGCTGTCGCCAGAGCCTGTCAGCAGGGCTGTTAGCTTGTGGTGAGAGCAGGGCACCCCGAAATGTCAGGCGGCGGGGCTGTTGCCGAGAGGTAATTGGGAGCAATTAGCCGGTCTCCCCGCTGGGCAGATGGCTGTTACCTTTCTCCTCTTTGCCCTTCCTCCTGCTGCCGCTACAGGGAGGGTGAGGGATTGTGGCAGCGATGATTCCCTGAGGAGCGGGTGTGTGGGGTGTGTGTGTGTGTGTGTGTGTCCGTGCGGGCGGCGGAGGCGCCCCGGCCCCCTCCCCGCCCCGCCGCATTGTGGAGGGAGGGACCGCGGCCCGCAGCCGCCTCCGCCGCCGTGCGGGGCCGAGAGGAGCTGTCCGAGGTGCCGAGCTGTGCGGGGCGGGGAGAGCTGTCCGGGGTGCTGACCCGTGCGGGGCTCGGGGCGGGGGTGGGGGGGAAGCTGTCCGGGGTGCTGAGCCGCGTGGGGACGGGAGAGCCGCGTGGGGACGGAGCTGTCCGAGGTGCTGAGCTGCGCCGCGCCAGGGCGGCACCATGGTGTTCGCTCCAGGTAAGGGCAGCCGCTTCCCGCGCCCGGCCGGGGGGAGCCCAGCGGGAAGGCCCCGACCGTGTCGGTGTCGGTGTGCTGCTCCGGGGGGTGCGGGGGAGGGGTCAGCAGCTCAACCAGAGCTGCCGCCGAGCAGAGACGGGCGGTTTCAAAGGAGGTGGCTTAGCTTAGGATGTGTTTTAGCTGTGGAGCCGGAGGTTATGAGGGTCACCCCTGTGGTTCCCATCAGGGACAGGAGCCTCCTATACAAGTGTGCGGGGCTCTGTGTTTGTCAGACTGTATGAAAGGGTCAGGAATGGGACATGGCCTTGTAGGGACTGGAGAAAGAGTCTCTCCTGGCACCCACACTGGCAGCTGCCAATAAGACAATCTCTGAAACTCAGAGAGATATTTTACAAATTTCCACACACACCCCCAACCTCCCCTAAGTATTTGAATAGAAGAGAACAGAAAGTTTGTTCAGGCGGGTTTTTACTGGAACAAAATTGAAGACTTCAGCAGGCAGGAGCTCATGGCTAATGTGGGACCTCGCTCTGTAGGGGTGCAGAATCATAGAATCATCTAGGTTGGAAGAGATCCTTGGGATCATCGAGTCCAACCATCTACCCTACTCTGAATCTCTGCTGTGTAGTGTATGTGTGCTACACCATAGAAGAATGGAAGCTATAGAGAATCTGAATTGGACTTGGTACACTTGGAAATAAGCAGTTTGTTGTTCAGAAAGGGATGAGAGGCCTAGTAGCTCTGGGATGTGAATGTAAGCCATGCCTAATGTCGTCTGTAGTGAAATGACTTGCAATTAACTGCTTTAAAGGTGTATAATTGTCCCTAAAACTAGCAGATCAATAGAAAAGGGAAAGTAGAGTCTGCAGCTTCATAGTGAGTAACTATTAATACCTTTGTTTTGCAAAGCTAACAGAAATTTTGTCTTCCTTTGAAATTTTGTATCCAGTCTGTGAAGGGATAAGAATCCAAAAGCTTTATACCTTAATTAAGAAAAATGATCTTGAGGTTGACTTTGCTAACTCAATAAATATTGTGAGAAATTAATATCCTTTTTCAACAACTACAAGTTCATTTTTATCTCTTTAACCATACAGCCTGTTCTGAAATTGGGACCAACTTATTTATCGTAATAGAACCAGCCACTTTTTTTTGTAGTACACCTTTTGGTATTAGTGTCTCTTTTCTGAGCTCCTTTTATCTGACAGTCTGTCACCATTAACTGAACTAGTTTTTGAAATGCACCATGGGACTGGAATACTGCAGGAAGAGATTTCCTCTAAAATAATGAAATCATGCATATTTTCCCCAAAGGTTGACAATGAATAACCCCCAAATCTCATTAAGAACTACATGAATTGTTCTTTTCACAACTCTAATCCATAAAGAAAAAAAATACATCTTGTCTAGTCATTCTTCTTCAGTCTGCTTTCACACAAAGAAAAGCCCATGGTTTCCTTGCAAATGTTGTCATAATACACATAGAGTAACTAAGTAGGAATTGGCAGAAAAGATGATAAAGCAATCAGAGGGGCTTGACAATCTCTTCTATTCAGAGTGAGCAAGCTTGAGTAGATTGCATTTTTTTATTGCTCTTCTTCACTTTAAATCACTACTGCCCTGGCATTATCTCTCCTCCAGATATTTTAAAAAAAATAATCAGGGTTTTGTACATTTTCAGCATCTTCGTAGTACTTAAGGCTATATGACATAGGAATTCTCTAAGTTTACTGAGAAATTGAGTTTCGTTTCTTGAGCCAACTTTCTGATTTTATCTCACTGTGAAGAATGACCTTATTTTCTGTTTATTTGTTGTGGGGGGAGGGAGCAGGAAGAAAAAGATGTGTCTAACTGTAAATGGTGAGGCTCAGAATGGTAAACATCCTTCCAGGAGGGCCGTGGTAAAAAGAAATCAACAGCAACCAAAAGGAAGCTCTCTTCCAGAAAAAATAATGGAACTTCTTTATCTGAAGACAAAGATGCAATTTTGCATATGAATAAGATGATGCTCACTTCTTTAAGGTAATAAATACATCATTGCAGAGCTCTGAATTAACATGCTATGTTTATAAACTGGTAAGTAGAGGAAGCTTACCAAGTTTAAATATATTTTTTAAAAGGTGAAGCCAACTCACTATTGACTGAATAGATACTTTTCTTTTCCCTAAATCTTTCAACAAGCTACTGTGTAAAAAACCAACCCCAACACCTCCAACCAGAAACCCACAAAACAAACAAACCAACAAACAAACACCGCTCACACCTCCGGAACAGGCTTGGGTATTACTGAGATAGATATGTCACAATTTTTACAAAAAATTCATGTTCAAAATGGGAATTTCTGGCTCACTGTAGACAGTAGGTTGCTATTTACAGGTAAGCAAAAAGCTACTATTCACATGTGATCTTTCTTCATACCCAGTCTTAATTACTTTGTTCCAGAAAAAGGAACTGAGAAAAGTACATTTTTCCTTACTTGGTTTAATCTGACCGGGGCTGCATTGCACTTTGTTGTGCTGGTTAACTGATGGTAGATTGGTGTGTAGGAAATGCAATGTGATCTCTTTGGGATGCCTGTGAGTTCATTACAGCTGGAGGATTCCCACGTGATGTGCTGCCCTTACAACAGGGGATGAACCATGTCATGAAAATGTGGACACAGTACACATTGCAAAGTTTGGCTTCTTTACTTTTCCTGAATTGAACTGCTTTAGGTAGCCTGACAAGTAGACAAAAAAGTGCCACTGATTGTTGGATGTAGGTAAGGATGGAGGTATGCACAGGGCTGCAATAAAGAAGCATGAAATTTCAACGTTTTGGATTAAGTCAAAAAGCAAAGAGAATTCATCATTTTTGAATTGGCAGGTTTTCTTAGAAGACTTCAAAAGATAGTGTATTCCAGAATTTAAAAAAAAAAAAAATCACTGCCAAACTAATTTATAAAATATTAATACCTATAAATAATTCCACAGATTAAATAATTACCCTTGTAAGATAAGGAATGAATCGTTATTAAAACATTATTTATTCTAAAGCATCAGCAAAAGCTGTAGAATGCAGCAAGCCTCCTGTTGTCACATTATTAGTTTACAAAGGAGTGATCACTTCCAATATCAGGCTATCTGATCAATAATAATCTTATTTTTGTTTTTAAATGAATCTATAATATTTAACAATAATTTTAAATGTTGCTAATCAATATATTACTATCTCTTTGCAAATTGCTTTCAAAAATGAGCGTGGGCATATTCCATGCTTATTTTCAGCCCTAAAACTTTCTCAAGTGGAAAGGTAAAATAAAATTTTAAATAATACTGTTTATTTCTGGTTTGCCTGAACAAGCAGGATACAAACCTGTTTTTCATACTCCAGGGATTTTTTTTCTGATGCTATTTTGCACATATTTGCACAAATCACTCCAATGCTTATGTCTGGCTTATGTCTTAGACCTTTGCCCTTATGTGTGTGTACTAATATAGCACAAAGATGGCCTGCATTTTTAAAACTAGCTTGGCAATAAGGTTAGAAACATGTTAAGGATGTTTGAGCTACCTAATGGGTTTTTTAAGCAATTATTGCTAGATTTATCATTCCAGTGATTATTTTAGTATATTTTGAAAATGTTACTTTGTAATGTAAGACCATAAAAAAATTGCCAAATTCCATTGCAGGCCATCACTCACCCAGTCAGTACTGTACAGAGCTGTTTGCTTGAATGGGAATTTGTATTTTGAGCTAAATAATATCTTTCAGAAAGGAATCAGTTTTGATCTGAATACTTTAAGAAAGACCATAACATTTTACCTTGGCAGCTTTTTTTCAGTGTCTGAACGCTCCTGTCCTTTAAGCTTGTATCTGCTTTGAATTGTGTGTCATCTTTCAGGTGAATCTTGTTATTTTTCAGTGTAATTTGAAGAATTCCTTCTTACCTGACATTTTCTTCATAACTAGGAACACACAGGATTTACTCATGTCCCTGCAATCCCAAAAGAAGGAGGAGGAGGTAGACTATTTTTTTGTATCAATATTTTTATGGGAAACCCCCCCCGCCCCATGTGTGAACACACATAAAGTTTAAAGATAGACATTAGAGAGGTCAGAATATTCACTGCTCAGCACCTTTTTCTTACAAGAGCAACGCCAATAGCTTTTCAACTAGCTTTTCAGCAGCACAGCTGTTCTTAACATTTTTAAGCTAGGAGCAGTATAGCAGACTTGCATAATGACACTGAAGATCAGAAGCACATCCTGTACCAAACATTTTAGGAATCTCATTAAACTGCAATTGAAGACATAGCAGCTGCACACTGAAACAGATGTGCTTGCTTGTCTGAATGGTCCTGATCTTATCTAGCGAAAAACTGGGAAAGCAACAAACTGTTGTGCTGCAGGGTGTGAAGACATGAATTTTCTTGATAGCTTTTTTCTTTTTTGATTATAGAGTTACAGGTAGTTTGGAGAACCCTGTCTGCAACGCACAGACCAAGACACTATGGAGGGACCTGTTAATGAATGGAAAAATTGCTACCAATAACTTTACTTTTTGAAGATAACCTCTTGTGGGATATCTCCAGTGTTTGCACTGGATGTTGTGGTACTCTGGGACTCTCAGTTACGAAGTGCTTTTCTTTCACCCATGAGAAGAATTGTAGTAAGGCAGGGCACAGTCCTTGTCCCTGTTAACTGCTGTGCTACATTCAGCTGGTGCTCTAAGTTCTGCGGTACCAGCCAACCCCCTTCCTCCTCCTCCCCCTGCAAGAAGTAGTAGTATAAGTAGGATTCTTTCTCATGAGCTTAGTGTTGACAAAGACCATGTCATGGACATAATTCAGAGGCTACAGGCAAAGCTGTTTCGCAGAACTCATGCAGCCTGGTGTAATGGTTTTCTTGTCCAGAATTTTGGATGGCTGGTATGAGTATGCAAGACGGTTGCCCCCCAAAAGTGTCTGAATGTATTTGCTGAGAGAACTCAATAATGCTTCAAAGTGTTTGTCATCTGG